TTTGCTGTCCCGCGACCCAGTGACTTTTTTTCAGTGGGTAGGTAGGTAGGTCGTTTATTTTAGGCATAATAGTTATTTGTAATGTCTGTCCTCATGTTTTGCCACACGATGCTTTGTGTTTCAGTCTTAACTATAAAAATTGCAAAAAAAAAAGAACTTAAATGTAAAAAAACTTTTGGGTCGCGCTATTTTCGTGGGCTGAGGTGACCTTCGTGGGTTCGGTCGGAGGACAGCAAACATATAATTTTTTAAGGATGGCCCTGCACATTTGCAAAAATGCATTGGGGTCAGCCCTAATATATCCATGAACCAACTTGTGTCCATGCCGGACATAGTATCAGGTGGATCGCCGGGTGTGTTGATGCCTATCACTATCAGCAACTATATAGGTACGCTCTGTTTTAACCTAGATTTGTGTAGGATATATCTATCTAGGCTGGACTGTGATAAGGACTTTGGATTGACACGGTGCACCAGGCACTGTTTCTGTCTGAGCCCGAGTCACTGACGACTACCATTAAAGTAGGCTAGTCGACACACTGTGTGACTGTTTCTCGACATGTACTACAGGGCTTGAAACTAACCTAACAATGTTCACTAGCAGCAGCGGCTAGTGACCTGGTAACTACTAGCCCTTAAAATATGCTCCCAGCCCTTACTTTTCTGAAGTTGCCCCCCCCCACACGCTGAGGCTACGAGGTGAGTAAAAGGCTTGCATTTCGGGGGGTGGGGTGGGGGGTGGGGTGAGCGATGGGTGGATCTGGGTTTTAATTTTAGACGCTCCGAGAGGCATTCTGCGAAAATTCCTTGACTGTGGAAATTTAGATTCAGACCATGATATTCCAGTATATAATATATTATATATATATATACTTTGATCATATGGCTGATCTAAATTTTCCACAGTCAAGGAATTTCGCAGAATCTCTCGGAGCGAGTGTCTAAAACTAAAACCCAGATCCACCGCACCCTCACCCCACCCCCCACCCACCCCCCGCAAGGGGCAAAATTTTGACTATATAAATAGTGTATATATCAAGAGCTAATACCAAATACCTAGAATGCTTGACAACGCGGAAAATTAGTGCTATTTCCCAGGGCAATATTATTCTACTTTGTATGCGGTTCTAGGACTAAGTTCATGGTATTGCGTTAGCAGCATTCTTTGCTGTCTAAAAATAAGAGCCAACCGTCTTTGTCTTACGATACTCTAGGCGGATATTGGGAGCGTAATTCCATGGCCTCCCACAGGCCCTCAGTAGAATAATATTGGCCGTGAAATAGCATATTTCCAAGGTTTTCCATTTGTCATCTATGCGTACTATAGTTTGCTTTGCTGTTTGCCTTAGATTATGGGCTCAAGGATGGTCCAGATGATGTCCAGGACGGTGATAGGATAGGATGTTTATTACTGGACATGCTCTCTATCATTGAACCAGATTGGGCGTCAGCGATTGCGTTACCGGTAGCAACTGTACTGTTGCAAGATCTAGGAATATTCTGTTGTAATTTCGCTGTTCGTGAACGGCGAAATGTTGCATTATTAGCCATTAACGCGCGATGTAATATATACTAGTCTACTACTAGGAAGTAAGAAACCGCTAAACTGTGACTCATTGGCCAGGGAGCGTTGTTGTTGATTTCCTCGCAAATTCGTTTTCTAGCGATGAGAATCGTATCTACACGTGTAAGGTTTACACACAGCAAGAACTGAAAGACCTGATCGACAATTCATTTCCTCTGTAACGCGTAGTCAGCACAGGAAACTCACCTTCCGTTTGTTCTGTCCTATTTCCAACAAGTACGGATTTGGCTGCAAGGCAGCCATTTTTGTACACAATAATTTTTCGATTGAGCAATGAGCTTGCAGCGCCATCTATGAGGAAGAAACGTTATTTCCGTGCGAGATGTTGTTGCTATGACGATGTCACACTAGCGATTTATAAACAAATATTTAGTAAACATGTGCCTTTCATGTGTAGCATATAATTAGTGTTTCGATAGCAAACGAGACTCCTCACAATGGATGTAGATGATTTTTACTATAAGGAAGCGGCTAGTAGTAGCAATGCTAGCGGCAGTGGTCTGCAACATTTGGGCCATGGGCTGAAAGAGGATGGACAAATTGCAGTTTCAGTATTCTTAAAGTTATCCCTTCCCGTGAGTGATTAAATTAAAATCAGTACTATTACTATTAGTGTCCGGCCATATGACTATTATGCTAATTAGCAGTTAAAATGCCCAATAATAAAATGGTTTAAGCGTATGCTTTCTAACCCCGTAGCCACAACATGTCAACACTACAACGGTCGATGTCATTGAAACAGGTGTACCGTGTGGCATCAGGTACAGGTGAATAAAATATGTGCTCCAATGAACAGTCAATCGCTGAGTGAATTAGCAAATTTCTTAGGAAAATTATATTTTTTCTGGATTTAACGCTTCCTGTTAATGAAACAATTACCTTTGCAGGGTTCTAACATGTCGGATATCACTGGACTGTCCAAATATTCTCACCTTGCGCAGGTTGACATATCCTTCAATAACATATGTGGTAATTAAAGCATGAATTCTTTTTTCCTGGTTCCTAGCAATTAAGTGACGCTGAGAGGGTCTATGTCCACCGGGGTACTGCCGGAACGTACCCGGGTACTATCTAATATGCCGGACCGTACCTCGCCTACTCCACTAACGAGTCTAGGGAGTCGCCTACGCCTACTCCCTAACCCTAACCCTAACCCTAATCCTAACCCTAACCATATCAAATAGTGACCAGGGTACGTTCCGGTATACCGGACCATACCAAGGGTACGTTCCGGCAGTACCCTGAGGGACATAGACCCTATGAGTCACAGTAAAGTTACCCTACACTGGCATCCTCATTCAACTACAACTCTCTGATTTGCATAAAACTTTTCCAATATATGTAAATATTACGTAACATGTACATGTAAATGTAATATTTAAGATGTATTATATATGACGAAACACTGAATTAGATGTAGAACCACTAATGATGTGTTTTCAGACCTGTCACCATTAGGCTGCATGAAACACCTTCTTTTCCTCGACGCCTCGCACAATAAGATCACGAAGGTGCTCGACTTTGCACCTCCGCACAACCTGATACAGGCTAACTTGTCTTACAACGACATAGAGGAGATCTCTGATCTTTCAGAGCACCCGTGCCTGAGAAAACTGGACCTGAGCAATATCCTTTTTTAGTTGAATTATTTGTTATTTGTTTATTTATATATGGTTCAAATTATGCATGTTATTGTGATTAAGTAATATTAAGTGACAGTAGAACTATTGAACTGCACGAAATCATGTAGTTCCATTTATTATGTCATCTTAATTATGAGTTTTAGGTGAGGTAGATGCTTGGGGAAAAGAAAGAAACGTGGGAAGAGGAAAAGGCTCGGAGGAGGAGGTCTTAATTATGATGAGGAAGGTGCTTGGGGGAAGGAAAGGTCTTTGGGAGAGAGGAAGAGGATTAGGGAGGGCTTGGGGAGTGGAAAGATCTTGAAGAAGAAGAAGAAGAAGAAGAAGAAGAAGATAGAAGCTAGGCTTAAGATAAGAGGAGTTGTTTTGCAGAAAAGAGGAAAGTGTTTATTGAGAGGGAAAGGTGCGATGTGGTAGTGATTACATATATATCGTCGCCAGCACCCTTGACTTCATACTCCACATAATAACATCAGCAAGGTCGGAGGACTGAGCACGTGCGCCAGTCTAACTGAGCTGAGGCTCACACACAACCATATCCAGCAGGTAGACGGCCTCGCTAGACTGCCGCTCACTCATCTCGACCTCAGCTTCAACTGGCTGAAGAAGCTGGACTCTCTGCGAACACTTGATGCTCTGGAGGTGGTTATCTAAGATCTGCAAGGCTGACATAGATGCAGCATTACGATAACTAAATAGTTAATTAACTAATTAGTCAAGTAATTATTGTTAATTAATTAGTTAAGTAATTATTGTTAATTATTATAAAGCAGGGCTCGAATTAAGCGACGAGAAGGGCAAGGCAATTTTTTTAGGGCATGTGAGAAATCGCCTTGAATTTTCTCTAAAATAGAAAGGCACCAAGGCAACTCTCAAAGTTTGAGAAGGGCACCAAGGCACTTTTGTAAAATAAAGGGAAACTCATAACAAATTAGTACATCAACATCGTCTTGCTTTTAGTTTTAATGTACAAAACAATATGCCCCCATGTAAGCTTACACCATAACACTGACCCCTGTATCCACCTCTGCTAATGGAAGTACAGTAACAAGAAATTTTACATGCCCGCTATCAGGAGCAAATAATTATCCGATGCCGTTATTATTCCCTCCTGCGACTATCGGTTTTTAGCTCATCATTGCAACTACAGCACGCACGCGCACGTGTTGATTCGACTAAAAACAAAACTAGGGCAGTAGATTAAAGGGCACCGACGGCAATTACACAAAAGGGCAAGGCAGGTGACTGCCGTCGGTCGGGTTGGATTTTCAGGGGCAGTACGGCGATTGATAGGGGCACCGACGGCAATTGCCGTCGGTGCCGTCGGTTAATTCGAGCCCTGTTATAAAGGAAGATCATTAAGGTCATGTGCTATAGAATTTCTGCATAGTGACAACTAAACACAATGTTCTAAAAAAAAATTATTCTCTTTATCATTTAAGAAATTGAGTGGAGTCGATTTATTTCATCATTTATATCCATTTTTTATCGAATTTAACTTGTTTATTTTTTTCACCTGTGGGATTATTGAGATATCGTGTGGTTTTGCAGGATCTTGATGTGTCAGGCAACCAGCTTCCTTCGCTGGATGGTCTTGAGGACTGCAGGGTTCTCGAGGTGGTTATTTCCGAAGAGAACATGGTAAGACGACCCTTTCCTATCCTCCGCGATCGCTCATCTGCAGCATCCCTGATCACTCATTAACAGCATGTCATGTGATTAATTAATGACATGTTAATATCATCCTTGATCACTTATCATCAGCATCTTTGATTGCTCATCATCAGCATCCTTGATTAATCATTATAACAGCATCCTCCGTGGACACTCCCCATCAGTTCCCTTAAAAATATCTTTTGATGATCTTCATTTATCCATGATCATTCACAACGTAATTTCAATGCCCTAAGCCTTGCTTTATTATGTTTCCGTAATGTTTAGCATACGACCCAACCATTTCTTTGATTGCAGCATTTGTTTGCAGTCATGTAGGATTTTTTACATATGTTAGTAACGCATAGTAATGCACAATAACGTATAGT